CAAAATACATTTTGTTTATATGTATGCTAAAATTATTAAAACTAAAACAATTAAGGACACTTGGGGACAAACAGAACACACTTAAAAAAGGGAACAAAACAGACTCCCTTTTAAAAGTTAATGTCTGTTTTGTCCCCTTTTTTAAGTGTGTTCTGTTTATCCCTAAGTATCCTTAACTGTTTTAGTTTTAATAATTTTAACATACTTGACTTTACAATTATCTGCCAAATCACAGTAAGCTAATTGAACTTTATCAAAGAAATGTGATAATTACAAGTTAAAGGAATTTGCACACCCACACAATTGTACATCTAATTTCATTCATTGTCATACAGCTGTCACCTTAATAAAATTTCAATAAATAACACACATTTCGAAAATATATCTCTTGAATAACTATAAATAACTTTTAAAGAATTAAATAATACAGAACATCACTTTCATTTAACAAAAAATCACATTACACCTATTTTCTACTTCATTGGATAAAATCTATCTCCTTAAGAAACTTTCACGTTGATTGTCAAACAATTACAAGAGTAAAAACTGAAGATCCCCATTCAGCAATTACAGGATACTTTGAACTATGTTCTCCCAACCATTAATTAATAGTGTACCGGCATCATTGAATTAACTTTATATCGACAGACCTGAAGATGGTTTGCAAATTGTAGAAAGCGAAACCGGTCGTCCAGATAGTTAAATTAAACTGATTGTGATTAAGTCTTATTTAGTGTTTCTTTTACCTATAAGAAAAAAATAGTTTTATTGGCAATCGGGTTTAATAGAATTAAATATTAGTCTCCAATTTTGGTTAAAAAAACCAGAAAGCCGCCTGTTTTGGAAGTGATTTCTAATACAAAGGTTATGTTATCTATGTATGTATATTCTGTAGTACAACTGGCAATGCCATACCGTATTTAAATGAAAGTTTTTGTCTATGTTCTCAATTATTCATGAAATAAATTGTCTAACATCACCCATAACAATCATAAAATAAAAATTGAGTGTAACCACACATATCTATCAATTAATCAACTAATACTCAACTTTTTTATAAATATGTCATTGAAAAATTTAATCCTTTTTAAACATACAAGAATACGTTTGTTATGCGCCATTGTTCTATTAACACATAAATCAATTTAAAGAACGGACAATTGCAATAATTGTTTTGAACATTTTTGCACACCGAGTATTGTGGTATTTTGACAACATTATTATACTCAAGTAATTTGTGGGAAATGAAGCACTGTAGTAGCGACCAAAAATATTTAAAATACAAATATTATAATAAAATTTGTAAACAGGAGAAAAACTTTCAGTATAAAGAAACTTAAAATAGATTTTGTTATTCTAATCTACATATAATGTATGTACATTATTAAAATAAATATTTCAATTCTGTAAGTTACTGAAATAACTAAATTGCTCGATATTTAGTTTTCATTTTAATATGGTGGACATGTCATTTTTTATTTACAAATTCGCATCAACCCGAAGATTATTAAAAAATCGAATTAAATTAAATAAAATTATATAAAATTAAATAAAATAATGAAAAATTATAAATATTTTTAAACTTATAAATCAATTATAAAAAATTTTAAAAGATTGTAAAAAATTGTAAAAAATTATTAAAAAATTATATTATAGAAAATTATAAGAAATTATAAACAGTTATTAGTTATTTAAAATCATAAAAAAAATTTAAAAAGTTATAAAAAATTATAAAAATTATAAAAAAATTATAAAATATAAAAAATTAAAAATTATAAAAAATTATAAACAATCATAATTAATTAAAAAACACTTTCTAAGTTTCAAATAAGAAATTTTAACAAGATCAATGCAGAATGCAGAATATTTCCTCTTTTCTCTTTTCTTCTTTACTCCTTCGTAAGGAGGTATTTGAGTTTTGTAATTTGTTTGAATATTTCTGTCCAATTATCTTTCTCCTGTGCGTGTTGTTTTGCTTCGGGGAATGAGTAATCAGTCATTTTTTTTATTTGAGCCGACTATCGTACTGGAGATCTTCCTCTGGTTTTTTACCCGCTATGTTACTTTCAACTATCATTCGCTCCATGCCTTCTCTTTTTCTAGTTATGTCGAAAATATCTCAGTATATTTTGGTTGGTAGTTGTGATGAGTCTAGTTTTTATGTTAAGTTCTGCTAGAATTGAGTTATTTGTGTGATGGACAGTTCATGGTATGCGCAACATTCTACGGTAGACCCACATTTCAAATGCCATTATACAATTTGAGTCGGTTTTTTTTATTGTACAAGTTTCTGAAGCATAGGTGGCGATAGGAAATATCAATGCTCAAACAAGGCGCAATTTTGTGTTTTTTGTGAAGTCTGTGTTCTTCCAAATTTTTGTGTTTGGCTGCTGCCGAACTGGCCATTGTGATGCGTCGAGGTATTCGTCTTCGTAACCTGCCGTGTTTCTTACCTCTGTTTGGTTGTTTTTGATTCTATCGATGATCATCACTTCTTGCATATTTATTTTCAAACCATATTCCGTACTCACCGTATCTGTCCTATTCATAATTTGTTCTAGTTCTTTTGGTGATGACGCCAATATAAAAGTGTCACTAGCGTGACATTGGTTTTTGATTTTTCTTTCTCCTATCGTTGCTCTACCATATATATATATATATATATATATATATATATATATATACATATATATTGAATATAATAGGGGATATTATGCATCCCTGTCGAATTCCAGATATTAATTTGAATTTTTTCGAAACCACATTATTAACTCTTACATTAGCAGTAGTATTCTGAAATAAATGGCTTCTGGCGTACCCATTTTTAAGTATATGCCACATTTTATCCTATTTTATGGTATCGAAGGCTTTGGAAAAGTTAACAAAGCAAAATATGTTTCTATGTTAAACTCTCACGATTTATAGATAATTTGACGAATATTAAGAATATGTTCTACCTGGGAAGAATCCGCATTGTTCTTGAAGAATTTGTGACAAGAGAATTGATTTTAGTCTTTAATTGATGATTGTTAGAACTACTTTTCTCGCGTGTGATATCAATGTTGCTGTACGGTAATTACTGCAATATGTCGGTGAACCTTTTTTATATATAGGAATAAATTTGAGTCTACCCCAGTCATTTGGCTACTTTGCGGTGTTCCAGATATCATTGCACATTCTAAGCATTACTTCCGTTAATAATTCTCCCATTTCTTTGACTGTTTCAGCTGTTATTACATCTTCTGCTTTTCTGAATTTTAATTCTTTAATTGCCGCCTCAATTTCGGATTTCAATATTTGAGGTTCTTTTTCATAACTTTGTATTATTGTCTAAGTCGTTGTTAGAGAATAGTATTCCGCAATATTGCTTCCACACCTCTGCAATACTGCCTGGGTTTGTTATGGTATTTCCACTTCTATCTTTGATGATCTGTGTCTGCGGTTTGAATTCTCTAGTTAGATACTTGACTTTTGAGAAAAGTTGGTTCTTGGCGGTCAGCATGTTCCTCTAGTTTTACACATATGTTTTCAATATAATAATTTTTGTCCCTTCGGTACAAGTGTTTTATAGTTGTATTTATGGTGCATGTCTCTATTTCTTTTTGTTTTGAATTTGATGTGCCGTTTTTTCTTTTTCGTCTTTCTTCTACAAAATTGAGAGTCTCTTTAGTCATACAATATTTTTTCCTAGCTAATATGTTTTTGGGATTTCTATTGTTGATGGGTTCAGTGATCAATTTCTTTGTGTATTATTACGTTTTGTCAGGGTCTCCGATAGTCACTGGCAGGTCAGCTTCTGCTAATGCTTCTCTAAACTTTCCCGGGTGTTTTGGAAACCATTTTTGTCTTTTATTTGTGATTGTTAATGTGTAACTTATGCGAAATTCTGCTAGCAACATTTTGTGGTCAAAACCACAGTCTGCAGCTGGTTTTGTCTTGTACCAATAATATAATCTATTTGGTTCTTGTATCATCCTCCAGGCGAAGACCATGTTGATAATCTCTGCGGATGATGTATAAACGTTGGGTTTACTTTCGTTTCTTTCTCTTTTCGTTCCTTTCAAATGGTCATCTATTTAAGTTTTTCCTATTTTTGCATTCCAATCTCCTATTATCATCATTGGTTCTTTTTTAGGAATGTTAGAGATCAGGTGGTATGTTTCTTCTACTATATCTTCTGCCACTTCGCATGTTGGCATATATACCTGTATAATATGCATTTTGCCTGGTTTAGCAGAAGATCTCTGCTTATCAACTACATAATATACAACCTGCCATCGTGCTGTTATGATTTAGCTATACAACTTAAGTAGAAGAAACAAATTAATCATCCGCAGGCTAAAAATTGTGCACACGAGGCTGACTCCTGGACACCTTATAAGTCAGCTTCAGAGGAATCACCAAGTTGTGAAAAGTGGAGTATTTCATATCAGGTGTAGATATATTTCTGCAATTCCAATATATATCTGTCATAAAATGAATTTTTTCTTTTACATTATTTATAAATTTTGCTGATTCATAATTATGTTATATTATATAATTATGAACAGTTATATTTCAAAGCGGAACTGAATATTGATGAAAAACTATTAGGACTTTGCTCCACACAAATTTAGTCAACTATAAAAAAAGTAACTGGTTTTATACATATTCAAATACGAAAAATAGTTTAACGAAAACAATGACGATAATAACATACATTATGCAACATGCCAAAACTCTTTTCTAAAATATGAAAAGATTACCTAAGTATACCTAATCTAATATTTACCTTCTCAAAACTTGATAATGAAATAATATTACTGTCTATTAATATTTCATTGTGATAACATTTATTCTCACAGAAAAACTACACGAAAAAACATTTCTTTTCTACAAGAATAATATTTGCATGTTTTTAAGTAATTTATTTTTCTTTTACAGTATAATGCGAAATTGAAAATAAGGGCAGTTAAGGCGAATACTAAAGTAGCAATAAGAAGAATTATCAGGCCGCCAAGATGGAAATGACCAAAGAGAAATATAATCCCAATCCACGGGAGAAAGCGAATATTTTATCGACTTTATTCTTCGGGTAAGTAGGTCTTTGATTTGATCTTAAATGATAGTTTACTTTCATTTTTTTGTTGCGTTTTCCTTAGTTGACCATTTTCAGTCCATCTTTCGTAACTGTAACAGAATCCATGGTTTGCAGATGACGGAAGCTGCGTTGTTTCTCTTGCTTGTGTGAATGATTATTCCACTCGGTAGAAGGCTCTGTGTGGGTGTTATCTGATATTTGAAGTTGATCTTCTTCTCGATTGTGCCGACTTCATAGAATTATCGAAGACTCTTTCAGAAGATCACACAAGACAAAGTCACATAGCTCTCGGAAGGACATATCTAAATATTTTGTATTTAATAGCTTTCAGAGTGTAATTAATTGTGTATTACCATGTTAACTAGAATGAAGTAGAGCTGGTGGAAAAATACATATAGCTTGGACACGAAATAAAGATCACAAGAGACAACCAAACATACCAAACTACGAAGAAGAATAAACCTAGCATTGGCATCCTACGGAAAACTATTTAACATACATCTTTATAAAAGCGATATACCAATTTCTTTAAAACGTAAAACGTTTAATTAATGTGTGTTGATTATGATGACTTATGGTGCCGAAACTTTGACATTGACAGTTACTACTTCTAAAACGCTGCCAATAGCTCAGAGGAAAATGGAAAGGTCAATGCTGAGTATAACGCTTCCTGACCGAGTTAGAAATGAAGACTTAAGATGAAGAACAGGAGTTCTTAGAATTACCGATGTAATTTCCCGAATTGCCACACTGAAATGGAACTGGGCCGGACACGTCGCCCGAAGCAGTAATGAAAGGTGAACGAAGAAATTGCTTAAGTGGAGGCTGAGGTTAGACAAAAGAAGTAGAAGAAGACCCCCTATTCGTTGGACTGACGATCTCAAGAAAATGGCAAGAAATTAGATAAAATTGGACAAAAATGCGGGAGGTCTATGTACAGCAGTGGAAGCAAAGGGCTGGGTGATGGTGATAATGATGATACCATGTTAAAACATGGTTTCTATTTTCTTAATTGTTAATTTGAGGCGACACATTATTTTTAATTTTTTTGACCAATATAATGTTGACAATCGAATAATTCATCATCACTATCGATGGCTTTAAGTTCCGTATGCATATGGCAGAAATATAATTCCGTAAGATGAAAAGGTAAGAAGGTTTAAACTAACTTACTTTTGAGGAAACATGTAACGGGGTAGAAAATCTTTAGCAAACACGATCTAACCAACCTACATAAAAAAAGTGGCAGGATTGTGGAAATGTTTTGGGTGGTGGTTGGCGTGGATTTTAGTGCTAACATTTCTTGGCGGGGTTTTAATTGGAGATAATTAGTAGATCGGATCATATTTTCTTTATTAGAGGTCTCTATGTCCAAGGTAACCAGATGCTGTCATTTTTTTTTATTGAGACAATTTGGCCTTTTTTAAATTTCTATATATAATTCTTTGGTTCTGGAGTTTTCAAAATTAATTTTGTGACCGGTATGAAGATAGTGTTGACCTAGCGCTAAAATTGAATCGGAATTGCGAACAGAAATGAAATGTTCATAAACCCTATTTTCGATTCTATGATTTGTTTGGACTATATAAAACCACGGGCAGTATCCACAGGAAATTTCATAAACTCCATATTGTTCATTTGGAATGCTGTTTGAATAATCAAATAAGGGATGAAAATTTTTGTTGGGGGGTAAATATTGTCTTTATTCCTCTAGATTTAAGAAAATTGTCAATTTTGTCAGTGACAGCTTTTATGTAGAAAAAAAATGTAATGAGAGTGTAAGTCTTGTTGAGATCTAGAGAGAGAGAGAGAGATTGATGTTTGTGGATGCTCCTATATATGACAAGAGTATTAATGACTGAATTAATTTGTGAAGGTGGCTGATGAGAGTTGGCATGCAAGTAATGATTGGTATGGATGGCTTTTCGAGTGACGAAAATCTTGTAATTGGTTTTTGGTAGGGATGAATCGGTTTCCACCTCTATCGTGAACTGGATATTAGGATGTATACCATTCAGATGGAGTTAAAAATACACCAAAACATCGCTACTGTGAGATCAAATGACGAGTGTATCGTAAACCTATCGTAGCCAACATGTGAGTTTGAGCATTGATGTAGATAGTGGTCGAGTGACGAAGTCTTCCATAATGATATTGACAATTAAATTACTGGAAAGAGTGAGGAGCCCATTAGAGCACCATTTATATATACATACATATATATATATATATATATATATATACATATATATATATATATGTATATATATATATATATATATATATATATATATATATAACCATAATAACACAAATATAAATTTGATTTTCTGTTTTTAGATATACATATGATGTATTCAAAAAAGGCTTATCGAAGACACTGGAAGTTGACGATTTATATAATCCATTAAAGATCGATAGAAGCAAAATCTTGGGAGATAGCTTACAAAGGTTAGTACATTTTTACAGTTTCTGGTATATATATATATATATATATATATATATATATATATATATATATATATATATATGTATATACTTATATATATATACATATATATTTATTTATATATATATATATATATATATATATATATATTTATATATATATATATATATATATATATATACATATATATATATATATATATATATATATATATATATATATATATATATGTATATATATATATATATATATATATATATATATATATATATATATATATTTCTTTGTGGTGCCATTCATCTATGTTTTTGCCGGTCTTTTCCGTTTCCTTATGGGGGACAGCCGTTCTAGTGGTCCTCTTTATACATTCTTCTTTCTTCCATTTCTTCTGAATGTTCCTTTGTACTCCCATTTGTCTTCTAATATTGTCATTTTTGATTGATATTGAGAGAGGCAGTTATAAACTGCAGTATAAACATCTATGAAAAACATTACGTAGTATTACGAAACTTTATATTTTTGATTTTGTGGGGACCCAAGTATCTTTTTTCAAGAATTGAAGATAGGGTTGTACCCAGAAAAGCTTTGTCTTTAAAAGAAATGTGTGCTTTTATACGTTTTTAAATTATACCCATTGAAAAAGCTTACGCTCTTGTTAATTTTTAATGTTTTTGTTTATCCAATTCTCTATTTTTATTGATTATATGATGTGTTTAACGTTTTCTTTTCGTTATTCTTAATTATTCTTTAATTTGCGATGCCTTAAATTGTTACAGATTTCTTGGGTGGCAAAATTAAATAAACATATTCTCATATGGCGTTCAATTTTTTGGGCTTTCTGTAAATATTTTAACACCGTTATTAAGTAATATTGTTCTTTAAAGCTTTCTCATCTTTTTGGTTGGTTTAACCTTCCTGTTTCTTTAATTTTTAGTATTATATACCATATTATGCATTTAACATAGATATTTTTATCAGATTACAAAGAAATAGTTTATTTTGGATTTATCTATTCATTAAATTGTTCAATGTTATCTAAAGTGATACTAAAATAGAATAAATCATTACTGCAAATATAACATGCCAAACATAACTATTTATTCAGATGAATATGAATTCACTGAATATATGATGTGAAAAGAAAAATCTAGAGGTTTTGTTTTATAACCTTCTGTTGATATTGGTATTAGTTGAAGTTATATCAGTTTTTACCAGAGATATGTTGAATTGTTAAAATTACTTCTTAGTCAAATAAAGCGACTGAAGTAGAGAACTAGCTGCAGAAATCTTAAAAAATGGAGAATACATCATCATCTTCTTTTTCTTCTAGTGCAATGAATGTTGGCTAAAATCATTGCAAATTCATATTTATCTTCTGCTTTTATTAAAACTACCTGTGTGTTCCGATTCAGCACGAATGTGTTTCAGCCAAGATATTTGTCATCTACTAGGACCTCTTTTTTCATTGATTTTACCCTTCATAATCAGCTGTAACAACTCGTACTTTTATGACACATTGCGATCGCGGGCCGTAACTTAGAAATGACTGTGCTAGACAATGTCCACTCTGTCTGTCGCCAATCAAAATTATTCTTATTGGTTCAAAGTCTATATTATTTATCATCAGTGACATTACAGCTTGTTATGAGCCAAAGCCTTCTTCAGAACAATCTTCCATTCGCCCCTGTCTCTGGCAACTCTTCTTCATGCTTTAACTCCGATGGATTTTAGATCATCCTCTATGTTTTCTTGATACCTAAGTTTTTTCTTTCTCCGGCTAGTCTTCCCACTGGTCTTCTTCGGTCGAAAATTTATCTGATCGTTTTATCTTCATCTCGCCTAATTACTTGTCCTATCCTATCTATAATATTGCGTCATCAAAAAAACTAGCCACCTTTTTATGTGTCTCTGAATCATCATTGTCTTTTAACTTATTTCTTAATCCCAAGACAGGTTGTTTTCGTATAAAAGATTCGGTTTTAATGTGGCTGGTTCATATAAATTGTCTACACTGTTTTAAATTTTAGTTCCGCTAAAGTTCTCCTCTAACATAATAGTATCAAACGCATCATCATTCTCTAACAAAAGCCTTTCCACTCTGCGTCTGATAATTTTTTAAACGTCATTGCGATACAAACATATGTCCCATGGCCCCTCTTCATAATCGGCGATTACAGATAAGAAACCGCGAGTAGAATTGTGTGTAGAAGGCATACTCTCTACGCTTGTGGTTCGACATACTATTACGGACGATTGTGTGGACGCTTGCAGGATTATTGTGCTGATCATAAACGATCACACGTTTAACCATCATCGTAGTATAGGCATTATACCTCTTTACAAAACAAGAAACCACCACTCGGCTATATAAATATGTGCACTGTAATTTGGCGATTCATCAGTGTTCAGGACGTGTAAATTTTAATCACTTGATTTTATTCCTATTGGTCAAAATATCTTCCAATAATAATTGTTCTGAACATCACTCGATAGTGCAAAAAGTTTACTTGAGCATTGAGCATAATCATTTATTCTCTAGCGTTCATATAGGACTCGAGCACTGAAGAAATAAAAAATTTTCAAATTATCCGGCTTGTGTAGTGAAAGAGTTAATAAGAATATCCACGATTTTGTCCTCGCTTCTGTGTTATCATCAAAATCACCATGTTAACCGTTTCAGTCCCAAAAGTACTTAGAAGTACCGGTACAGAAACCAGCCTTATATTCCAGATATTGATATAGAGATAATACCTTTTTAATGAATAGAATATCCTACAAACTTTTTTAATAAATTTGAAACAATTTAATTTTTATAACTGATGTTGTATTGTTACTCAAACAATATGGTACCGAAAAGTATCAGTGGGATAAATTCAGAGCGGAAAAAATATTAAGGCATATTATAGTAACTATATATTTCAATTATTTATCTCATGCTATTCTATAAAACAGTTCTTATTTTTATCTTATAATTATCTTTGATTAATACATACAATAACTTTACATAAACAGACAATTGACATCGGTTTACATAGTATTTTGTTCTTCTTCTTCTTATTCCTTCTAGTATGTAGGCTTTAAAGCCTGTTTCTTCTTCAATATTAGCCTCCTAAATTGTCGCACCATCTTTTTCTTGGTCTGCCAATACTTCTTCGTCCATTTGGTGACTTATCTCGTGCTATTCGTACTATTTTATCCTCTGCCATTCTACTGATATGTTCGTTCCACTCCTGTTTTCGTTTTGTCACCCATCAATTTATGTCTTCTATATTGCATTCTCTTCTTATGTTTTCGCTTCTCTCCCTATCCAATAGACTTCTCCCTAATATTCGTTGGAGTATTTTCATCTCTGTTGTTTCTAGCAGTCGTCTCGTTTTAGATGTGTCAGGTCTTGTCTCCGCCGTGTATGTTAATATAGGTCTAATTGCTGCTTTATAGAATCTTCTTTTTGTGTCTTGTCTTATGTGTTTGTTCTTTCAGATTGTGTCATTAAGAGAACCCACCGCTTTACTTACTTTTAAGCTTTGTTGTTGTAATATTATTTTGTTCATAGTACAAACTTCATATCTTCCCCTTCTAGCATCCAATTTTGGCCAGTGATTTTCTCTATTGGACAATCTTATTTCCGAAGAAATGCTAAAATTATGCCGTCATTTTTTCCTTTTGACGTCTTGTTTGTTCTGTAGGGGGAAGCAAAACAGAGGCTACTAGTAAAAAGAAACAAAGTTTATTTCTAGGTATGCCAAAAAAGTCGATTTATTAAATCTTCTGACAACCCGTAACATTGCCTTAGTTGGTCGTGATGGTCTACATAGCCCATAGATTCTTTATAATCTTGTATGATTTGGGGTTAATTTCCTCCCGTGAAAGTTGAAAGCAGTGGTGTGGTGACTATGCGATTATCCTTCGACTTAAAAAAGGAAATTCCTGTATTAGAAATACGGTAGTCAAAGTCACCTGTAGCAAGTTTTTTATCTTCTAATAATAGGGAATTGTTTACATGCAAAAATCTTAAAATGGTCTGAAACCTATTCCTTGGCAAAGTTTTTGCAACAAATGACACAGGTAGATCTACTTGACTTGACCAATATTTTCGGACATATGGTAGCGCAATAAAAACTTTATTCCGATAAATACTATGGGTTTTTCCTTGGGCATTTCCAGTTGTTTTCCCTTTTGTGTGGCATAAAGTTTACTCTGATAAGTTTTATCTTCTATGCTTTTATTTAAAAACTTCTAAAGCGGTCTCACATTCTCTAAAATGAACTTCTTCCCAAGTACAGGTAGCTTCTGTATATATATTGAGGAGTTTTTGTGTTTTTTTCAATTTACTCTATTTTCTTTCTGGACAATCTGGATATTTAGGTTCCATGTAGATATAATGCTCTTGATCTTGATGTTTGTTAGGTTCCTGATTTTTTAGTTTAGGTCATCAGAAACTAATTTAAGGTCTTCATTATTTGCCTCTTCTTTTCGATTTATTTGTAAATCTATTCCAACAGTAGAAATATCCAGCTCATCAGCGACATCTGATTCAACATCAGTATCTTCTGCATTATCCAATGGAAGCAAAACAATCATCAAAATTATAGTTTTCTAACAATGTTCTGCACGTTCTACAAGTTCTACAAGTTCTAACAATTCGGCATCAGTCAAAACTCTTTTTTCCGCCACTGTGGACAATGTCTGAAATGAAAAAAATATATTACAATTATGCCTAACGGTACTCTCAAGTATCAATAAAACAAATGTCATTTTTGGTGACTAAACATTCAAAACGATTTAAAAACATTAATTAGTTAAACAAAAAATTTACTTACCCTGCCATTTTTTATAAACAAAACACTCTAGACATTATTTCAACAATAAAACTACACTTTGAAGGAAGCACTTATAAACAGCCCTGACTAACATAACAATCATAAAAACAAATTAAGAATTCGCACTGCACATTGAATGACAGTAACTACAATAAATGAAATCGCGTTGTTCAAGCCTAGAC